TAAAACCGTGAAAGGGGCAATATTTTTAAAACTTGGGATTAAACATTTTTTGAAACTCTTTTAATTGATATTGAAAGACATTTTTTTCAAACAAGACAGTCTCTAGAGTGGATCTTGGTAAATGACATATGACTCTTAGACACAAAAACTCATGCTCAGAATCAATGCTGAAGCAAGAAATGAGGAACATTTTGGGCATCTTTGAAGATTCAACATGAAATATTGGGGCATTTTTTTGGGCATCTTTGGGGATTCAACATCCTAATGTGAATTATCAGGCCTTTTTCAAGAGATAAAATATAACCAATTCATGTTATATGCATCTTATGCATACATTTTAGAGCATCATTTTCCCCACATACATAATTTTTGCAGCTTTTAGAGTCAAGTTTCGACTTCAAGATGAAGGATACTCGATTCAAAAGCACCTTTAAAGATTGATGTTGGTTGCTTAACTCAGCAGCAAGAAGCTACACTTCAACCAATTTGACATATTGAAAGATCGACAGATCTTAGAATTAACTTCAGACGAGTTCGAGAGATAATTCAGAACCGATCCAGTTCACATTTACAAGTTGGATTTCAACTTCACGACGAAGGATATCCAATTCCTGGCTCAACTTCACGACAAAGGGGCCACCCACGATTTCAACTTCACGACGAAGGGAATCGTGCTCACCATTATCTCTCTTGAGACAGTTTCCCTTGAAACAAACTTTGTCTCTGTTGAGACAGTTTCCCTTGAAACAAATTTTTTTCTCCCTTGAGACAGTTTCTCTTAAAACATAAACATTGAAAACATTTCCCTTGAAATGAGTTTTGTCTCTCTTGAGATAGTTTCCCTTGAAACAAAATTCCGTCTCCATTGAGGCAATTTCTCTTGAAACATAAACATTGAAAACATTTCCCTTGAAATGAATTTTGTCTCTCTTGAGATAGTTTCCCTTGAAACAAAATTTGTCTCCCTTGAGACAGTTTCTCTTGAAACATAAACATTGAAAACATTTCCCTTGAAATGAATTCCGTCTCTCTTGAGATAGTTTCTCTTGAAACATAAACATTGAAAACATTTCCCTTGAAATGAATTTCGTCTCTCTTGAGACAGTTTCTCTTGAAACAAAATTTTGTCTCCCTTGAGACAGTTTTCTCTTGAAGCATCATCTTTGAATATGTTTTCCTTGGAACTAATTTCATCTCCCCGTGAGACAATTTCTTTGGAACTAAGTTTGTCTCTCTTGAGACAGTTTTCTTAAAACAAAATTTTGTCTCCCTTAAGACCGTTTCCCTTGAAACAACAAATATCTTTGAGATCGTTTCCCTTGAAACGAGTTCTGTCTCTTTTGAGACAATTTCTCTTGAAGCATCATCTGAACCGTTACACTCAGCTCAGGCACATACTTGGGATAGCATTTCTCAAATCAAAAAATAGGATGTGCACATCAGATTTGAACATTTGAAGAATTTGAGACCATGGATCAGAACTTGAAGATTCCAGAAAAACAACCAGAGATTGAGATTTCTCTCCTGAGCCCCAAAATAACGTTTATCTAGAGTCAATTTCGACTTCACAGCGAAGGCTATTGGACTCGAGACAACACAAGTTCAGCTTCACAACGAAGGGACGGCTGGTTGTCAACAATAATTTCCCAGTTTCAGGGCCAATTTAACTTCACAGCGAAGGATATTGGACCCAAGACAGCACAAGCTCAACTTCACAGCGAAGGGGCGGCTGACTGTCGACAAACAATTTCGGAGCCAATCTCAACTTCACAGCGAAGGATATTGAACTCGAGACAACACAAGTTCAACTTCACAACGAAGGGACGGCTGGTTGTCAACAATAATTTCCTAGTTTCAGGGCCAATTTCAACTTCACAGCGAAGGATATTGGACCCAAGACAGCACAAGCTCAACTTCACAGCGAAGGGGCGGCTGACTGTCGATAAGAAATTTCGGAGCCAATCTCAACTTCACAGTGAAGGATTTTGGACTCGAGACAACACAAGTTCAACTTCACAGCGAAGGGACGGCTGGTTGTCAACAAACAATTTCCCAATTCCAGAGCCGATTTCAACTCCACGACGGAGGATATCGTGCTACCCGAGACAACACAAGTTCAACTTCACAACGAAGGGACGGCTGGTTGTCAACGAAAAACTTTTCAGTTTCATCCGCGATTTTAACTCCACGACGGAGGATATCGTGCCACTCGAGACAACACAAGTTCAACTTCACAACGAAGGGACGGCTGGTTGTCAACAAACATTTTTCAAATTTCAGAGCCAATTTCAACTTCGCAGCGAAGGATATTGGACTCGAGACAACACAAGTTCAACTTCACAACGAAGGGACGGCTGATTGTCAACAAGATTTCGTTCAGAGTCAATTTCATCTTCACAGCGAAGGATATTAGACTCGAGACAGCACAGCTCAACTTCACAGCGAAGGGGCGGTGACTGTCAACAAACAATTTCCCAGTTCCAGAACCAATTTCAACTTCACAGCGGAGGATATGGACTCGGAACAATATTTGGATTTCAACTTCATGGCGAAGGATATCCAATTCTCAGGCTCAACTTCACGACGAAGGGGCCCTGTACGATTCCAATTTCACAAACAGATTGACCCAACTTCACGACGAATGAGTCATCTGTAACGCATCAACACCGAAGTCTTCAGGTCAAGTTTCACCTTCACGACAAAGTATCTTGATCCAGAAGACGATTCAAAGGCCACTCGCCAAAAGCTTTGAGTTCGATTCCAACTTCACGACGAAGGATATAGTGCTCAGAAGCTTCCAGATGAACTCGACTTCACGACGGAGGAGTCATCCGTAACTCAATTCGACAGGGAGTTATTGAAACATCATAGTCAATTTTCAACTCCACCGAACGAAAAGTGTGTCTTTCAATCTTTGCCCTATCCCCGTTATACGACTATGGGCAAAGAGGGGCAGCTGTCAACACACCTTTTTCGTCCTACTAGGATTCAAACTCTCAAAAATAGGATAGAATTCTGCTAGGATTCAACTCCTAAAATAGGATAGAATTTTGCTATGTTTTAAACTCCTAAAGATAGGATCCACAAGCACTATAAATAGCCATTGTAGCTCACTATTGTAACACACGATTGGCATACGAAATTACCAGAAAAAATACGAGCAAATAGATTGTTTTGAAGCTATTGTAAACAATTCAGGAGCAATAAAAGGTGAAAGCTTTTACCTTTCGCATTCTTTCTTCATCATGTGTTGTTATTCGTCTTTGTGCTTGAAAAAAAAAACAGTTTTGGTCGAGGAAAAGGGGTTGTCGTTCGAAACTTTTCTTTTAGATCTACACAACCCCGAGGCCGTTTTGAAAAAATACTGAGATATTTAAAACGAATGAAAGGTTTGCCGCCGATGAACGGTCCCTTATGTATTATTTTCATATTTTATTTATTTCTTTTTGATAAATCGTATTATTAAGTATATATATATTAATTATTTTTATTCTAATAATATTTTAATGTTTTTTAAAGTTATTATATATATATATATATTTTAACTATTATATTTATTATTATTTTACTATTAACGTATATAAATATTTTTCTCTTTGCTACTATTATTATCATTATATGTATATTTTTATTGTATTTTATTTTATTTTACTTTTTTTAAACATATGCATATATATATACATTTAATTATATTTTTATTTTTATCTTATTTTTTTGTTTTCATGTATTATATTATATTACATTATTATTATTTACTTTATTAAATTATTTTTTTTCGTTATATATTTATATATATATATATATATTATATCATAATGTTTTTTGTTTATTCATTCTATTATATTATAGGGATACATCACACTCATTTATAACTACGGTCCCACCCCTTATCGTCTTTTCCTTCCCGACAGTTATACTTCACCAAACCTTGACTTTCTTTTTTTACTTTTTTGGTGTGATTGCGTTTTTTATTTTACTACTTATTATCATTATTATTATTTTGCACTTAATAATTATATGTTTTTATTCCTCTTTTAGTTTTCATCATTTTTTTTATTTTTTCCTTCTATTTTCTTTATTTCATTTACTCTTATTTCCTTTTTCCTTTAACGCGTTTCTCGACTTTTTAAGGGTACTCTTTCAAATTGATCGAAGGTAAGTAATTTTGGATCATATGTTACCTTTAAATTTTAACTTTCGATTTTCTTAATTAAAAACAACTGGAAATTACGTAGTACCGAAAGGGCGGTTCAAGGGTGCTAATCCTTCCTTGACCGTAACCGACTCCTGAATCCGACATATCTTTGGTAAGACGCAGATCAGGTAAGATATAAGGTATCCGATTAACTTATTTATTTTTTTAAATAAATAATCGGTGGTGACTCCAATCATATTTTTCAAGTCGAAATCCAATTCCGGGGCCCAACCGAAAGACGGTTACGACAGTAAGTTTATGTGCTGAAGAAGGGAATAAGATGGAGTGTTGGAAACATTTGTGATTTTCTGTTTTACCATCTGCATGTATAATAATGTTGATACAATTATTCAAATTCAAAATCAATAATACTCTATCATTAGGGACGCTCGATAAGTTCTAAATAGATATGATGTTAAGTATTATAAAACTTTTGATTTAAATATTATATAATATGTTCTTAAATAGGTACGATATTAAGAAGCATGCATGGGACTTGGTCTCACTTAATTAGATTAAATTTTTAGTATGTTTCCTTCATTTGGTTATTTACTCCTATCATTTTAGTTGAAAATTTTGAATGGACAAAAACTGATAGTTTCGGTACTAACGCGTAATTTATCTATTAGTTTATATATGTAAATGTAAATATAATATTCAATTGTTTAAAAACTTAATTATTATTTAAATGGTCTAGTTGATTACAAGATAATATATGTTCAGAACTTTTTAAACTATCCACAACCCACATCGGTTTATGTTTAATGAGGGAACACTTGTATTAATCACCAATTTACACATATGTTTAATGAGGTGGTGAAGTCGATGGATTGAAGTGTGCAGGTATTGAAGAAGTCATGGCTTCTATCACCTTTCTCCTGGCAATGTAGAGCTGGTTCAGAAGATCTTCATAATGGGATTCTACTTCTTGTAGCTCTCCAGGGTTGAGTTGATCAATGGGAGCTTCCCACCAACAATTACCTTCACTCCCACTGGCCTGCTCAACCTGAGCAAGTGCCTTTGCTTTCTCTTTCACTGCCTCGAGCTGATTGACCACCTCATTGTAATTTTGAATCACTGATTGGTTCTCTCTTTGTTGAGCCTCAACAAGAGATCGAGCGTTGTTTGGGGATGGCCGATTATTATAGTTATTTAAAAAGCAGTTTGCAACAGTTTCGATTGAAGGATGACCAAATGAAAAGGGCTTACGCGGCAGGCGAGAAGCAAATGAAAAGAACGTCCGCACCACAAAGCGTGGTTATCTCACTTATCTTCTTATAAATGCCAGGTCGCCGTTTTGAAAATGTAATCAGTCTATCATCCATATTTTCGATAACCTTAATCTCAATCTTTTGTTTCCCCTTAGTTTTCTTTCCCTCCCTTGCCATTGCCAGAAGAACAGACGACAAAAGAAAAAGAAAAAAAAAAACAGGAAGGTTAAATAGGGCTTATTAGCCTTTTAGAATATTATAGAATAGAATTCTTGTTGGATGAAATGCATATATAGGACTGTAAATGAATATATCTATATTAAATTATAAGAATAATCATCATCAGTGAGTATGTAGTATTCTTATATTCTTTCCAGTGCTGAAATGGAAAGCCAGCCAAAATCCATATATATTGCATATTGCTTATCAGTGTTGGACGGTTGAATGCATTGCATTAGCAGGGACATTAAAGATTTAAACAGACTTAGTAGGTAAAATATCATGTTTCTAGATTCAATTCTTCCTTATTAGAGTTTGACTTGAATACAATAAGATTAAAATTGATAAAAATATAAAATTAAGAGAAAACTGGGGAAAAAAGAGAGAGTAGAAACTTAGTTTAATCGAAGGTAGAAAATTTACTATATTTTGTGTTCATCAAAAATATGAAATATAATTTGAGTAGATTTTTCACTGCATAAATTTCTTTCCTAATTAAGTAATTATCCATATTAGTGAAAATCTTATCGTGGTTATTATATTTTTACTGTATTATGGTTAGAAGTCAAATTCTTTCTAAAAATCCTATTGTATACCTTTAATAAAGGATTATTAGTAAAAATTCTTTTTTTTTGCCTATAATTTTTTTTATAAAACTTTCTATATAAACTTTTAATATCTAATTTATTATATGATCTCTATACTTGCCCTTATTTTTTAACATATCTAATTTACTATAGTAATTTTTTTTGCCACATTACCGTGGCCCCAAATTATTTAAAAAAAAGAATTACTATACTTTTTATATTATACAACGAATTCGTCATCTCGATGTGATAAGTTTAATTAGATATATTTTTTATTATAGGTCTAATATTTTAATATTTATTGTAAAACTCGTTAAAAATTTATTTTTTTCAAATTTTTAATATGAATTAAACTTTTTTATATAAAAAAAAATGAAACTCGTCACCTTTTAGTGTAACAATATTTTTCAGCTACATTATCCATGTAAACATATCAAATTTTGGTATTGGGTAAACTACATATTTTTAAAATTTAAAATAATTATGCTTGAAATTATTCATACTTACAATTAATAAAAAAAAGTACCAATTAAGATTTAGTCATAAATTATTTTTTAAAAATTGTCAATATATGTGTCACGGGGGAGCAATGGGATTTTCGTGTCTTTCTAAAATCCTTTATTATGGTAAAAAAAAAAGTATTATCGTTTGAGGGGGAAAAGCTGCTAAATAGATTGTCAAGAGTTGTTTAGGTCAGTTTATAAGTTAATTAAAATTTACACCTATAAATAAATATCTTTTAATTTACAGTAAAACACTATTTCTTTTTACCTAAATTTCAAATCCTAAACTCCGAACCCGTTAAATATTTATTTTATTTCTTTTTGATTGAATCAAGTTCGCTAATTAACATTCTTACAATGATGATGATTATCTAATTGACTTTGCTTTAGTTAATTAACATGAGTAACAAAATATACGATTTAAAAAAATAAATAGCAAATAGTTTAATAAAAGAGTGATCATAAGAAAATCAACGAAATTAGTTTAAATGTAAGCAACTTAATTAAAAACAAACAAGACGGAATGTTACTAACCGAGATCATGTATATATTCTTGAATTTGGTACTTACAATTCTTCGTCTTATAGATCGTATATAAATCTTGCCTCAATCGTGTATGAATTTGGTATTACAATCTCGTCTATGATCGTATATAATTGCAATCGTGTTTGTTATAGATGTAATGTTACGTTAGATGATAAATATTGGGTAAACTATATGAATGATCCTCTGTTTTTATTTTGATCGATTTTAGTCACAGGTTTAAAATTAAATGCATTTGGTTGTTATATTATCGATTCGTTCGGTTTTATTCCTCATCCGTTACCCATTAAAAGAAGTTTTGCATTTCACTTAGAAAAAAAACACGTGTCATTATCTCTTCTTCTAACTAGGCACTTGAAGCTGTAAAATGCATTCAATGCTAGGAAATTTCGTAAAAAAAAAAACAAAATTTACGTTCAAAATCCCAGCTTGAACGACATTGTAACCCATCATGCTACCGCAACTGCCCAACTTCAGTCCTGTTGCCATGCCTGGACTCTACTCACAGCCATCTCTACTAGATGATGAACCATACAACATAATCCATTACACAATCTCCACTGTGATCATCCTTGCCTAGAGTAACATGAAGTACGTGCCATCGTATCAGTCTTAGGCCCTGTCGATGACCTCCGAAAGCCATCATTTGTACATTGGCTTCCTTCCATGGACCTTCTCGATTGGTTGGCTCTGTTCTACGGTTTCAAAAGTGACATCGTGAAGAACCAAATGGAACACCTTGTTCTCCCACTTAGCCAACGCGCAAATGTGCCACTCTCGTCCGACCGACAACGTCGGAACATTCCGAAACATAGTCATTCAAGAGTTTCGATGTCATCTGCTCAAGAATTACACTAAATGGTGTAGAGAGATGGAGAACTTCTTCGTCGAAATAAAAAATGATTTTGATTGAGTTTGAGTGTTTCATTGAATTTGAGATTTATATCGAATTTTTACACTGCTAGAATTTGTGTCAAGGTGGAGATTGTTAAAGTTTGATACGAGTTCGATTATACTCAAATTGATAAAGATATAAATTTAAGAAAAAAAATAGAAAACTTAATTTGATTGAAAATAAGAGAAATATTGTAATGTGTGTTAATTGAAAGTGGGGAAATAGTTTAACAAGAGACTTATTATAATTATCCTTATAGTATATTAGTGATTAGTGTTGGATGTCAAATTATTTATGAAAATCCTCTTGTATTTTTTAATATAATAAAAATTATTATTTTTACTTATAATTTTTTCAAAAGAATTTCTACATAAAATTTTAATGTCTATTATATTGTATGATCGCTATACTTATTATTATTTTTAACATATTTAATTTACTATAATAGAGATTATAATTAAGTTTTAGAACAGAGCAAATTGAAAACTTCTCTGAATAATATAAAATATTATTCAAGCTCTTGAAGTACCATGCAAAAGTTTGCATCAGTAATTGTTTTCCATAATTTATATTTACCATTAATGTTAAGCAATGAAGTTAATAAGTTATGCACGACTTCTAAAGAAATTTCTATTAGTTTTGGGTAAACTATATATTAGTCACTCAACTATCATTTTGGTTATGTTTCTATCATCAAACTATTGTTTTTCTTTCTAAAATCATGTATAATGTTCCATTTTGGTATTATCTTGTAGTGAAACAATAGAATCACTGTTAATTTTTTAACGGTAAGTGACCAAAACATAACCAAAATGTAACATTAGATATGATTTCAAAAAACGTTGAGTGACCAAAGCGAACCTAAAGTGATAGTTGAGGGACTAAGTATGTAGTTTACCCTAGTTTTTAATCATCTGGATGTAAAATTTTGATGGACCTTGTAATCCCATCGTGATAGATTCTTTTATTTACTTAAATGTAAAATCTTTTAACAAGATCATGAAAGGGAAGGGGTTATCAACATGTGAATGAAAGCTAAGTCATATTATAAGAAAATGCTTAGCAGAAAAGCAAATTCTATCTGAAGCAGTAAAAGTTGAAGAAATGGACCCAACACTTCTATTAATGACCAATTTAATACAGTAGATAAATTAATATTGGTGTACATAGCTAAAAACTGGCAAAGCTCTAAGCTTAAAACATATCATAGACTTGACTACACGACCATTTAGTATCACTTTTATTAATCACCAGTTTACTGAAAGTCAAAAGGTATACTTAATCCCAGGAAGCAATCAAATGATCCTGCTTTAGCAACAAGGTGAACTTTACTATTCTACTTGTTCAGAACTGCCAGCAAAGACATCTGAATTGAAACTGTGCAGAATCCCTTGGAGTAGGTATTGAACAAGTCACGGCTTGAATCACCTTTCAATTCTTGTTCTTGTTTCTCTTGAGGGTTAAGTTGATCAATGGGAGCTTTCCACCAAAAATACCTTCATTTCCACTTCCCTGTTGTGCAAGTACATTTTCTCTCTCTTTCGCTGCATTCAGTTGCCTGACCTCATTATAATTTTGATTTATTTGGTCGACTCTTTTTGGTTGGTTAGCCTCAACAATAGAGTTAGTGTCGTTTGGGTAAATGAAAAGAATGTAGGTACCACAAAGTGTGGTTATCTCACTGTTTTCTTGTAAATTCCAGATCTTAATGAATTAAGAAGCGAAATTGGAGTGTTCCTATTAAACACGGCTTCACAATGGCAATAAAGTCGCGGATGTCTGGCCAAGGGCGCTTCATTGACTACCTGGATCACATTGTTTTTGTTTATCCCCGACGTCGATCATGAATTTGTTACAGGAAGACCTGATGGTGTGTAGCTAAGTTGTTAGCTTGTTTTCGCCCTTGTTTTTTATGTTTCTTCGATATATTTTCCTCCATTTAAGTCAGGGAGTTTTTATTGAGGCATATTTTAATATTTTCTTATATGGTTTCCTCGTTAATGAAATCATACCTTTACCGGAAAATATCACCTTTCTAGATTTATTTTTTCCTTCCAAATTAAGATTTTTGGGATGATTATATTGCCTGCCATATATGAAGAACACATTTTATCAATTAAAACATTAAACTTTCAATTTGATTTCAATCAAGAAATTATTAACTATTACATGATAATTGACTATTACATGATAGTTGACGTGGCAGTTAAGAATTTTGTATAAAAATATATTTACTCCTCATTATTTATACATTAATTAATTTAGATAATAATATATTTATTTTCATTAATTATACATTATTATTTAATCTTAATCTATATAATATAAATCTCATATTAATTAGATATTGATTTTTTAAGTGTTCAAATATAATTTTTGAAACATATAGTATTGAATGATCAAAGAAAATATAAAAGGCACCCTTTTGAA